ACAATTGCAAACATGATCGACCCTCGAACCCGGAAAGGAATAGAGACATGTACGGCATGGCAGCGTTTTCAAGGCACATGATTGGGCGACGGGCAATTGCATCGCTGAGTGTATCGATCTTGGCATACCGCATCAAAGGCTGTGCTGTGCTGCGCGGTGCTGAATTGCCATGTGCCATGCCAGGTTGTGCTCTATAGCGTTGTGGACCTAATCCCACTTTGCATCCGAGTCCTGACCAAACTGATCTGGATCTGAAGCTCGGCGAATCCGTAAACTCGTAAACTACGCTGCGACCGCGCTCCAAGGGCTTCGCTCCCTCGTGAATTACGGTGCGTCATCGCTCCCAGGACCACGTTCCCTTGTAAATTATACTACGTCCGCGCTTCCAGGGTCAAGAGCCATCGTAAATCATGCTGCGTCCGCGTTTCCAGGGCCATGATACTTAATCAATTACGCTGCTTCCGCGCTCCCTGGGCCACAATCCCTCGTAAACTACGCTGCGTCCGCGCTCAATGGGCCACGATCCCTCGTAAACTACGCTGCGTCCGCGCTCCCAGGGCCACGACCCCTAATAAACAAAGCTGCGTCCGCGCTCCGAGGGCCACGATCCACCGTAAATGATGCTGCGTCCGCGCTCCCAGGGCTGCCTGGGGCGTCCTTGGGCGTCCAGGTTCCTGGAAATCTCCGAAACAAACGTTTCGCTCTAGATAGCATCAACCAATTATGCAAAACGAACGATTCGCTCGAGACATCCGCAACAAACGAAAATGCTTACTTCACCCGGTGTTTTATCGATCGAATTAAACATAATCGACCCACGAACCCGGAAAGGAATATAGAAATGTAACGCATGGTAACGTTTCCAAGGCACCTGATTGGGTGATGTGCAAATGCCATGCTGAGTGTATCAATATTGTAGCCTATCGAGGGCTGTGCTGTGCTGCACCGTGCTGAATTGCGATGTGCCATGCCGCGGTTGTGCTCTATAGCGTCGTGGATCGAGTCCTCCTTTGCATCCGAGTCCTGACCGAACTGATCTCGATCTTAAGCTCGAGCTGCCTGAACACATAGTAGCTGCCCCAGAGCTAATTGACAGGGAGAAATGCCAGGAGGACGCGCAGCGAAACGTCCCAAGGGACGCGCCAGGCGACGTGCCAGGGGACGTGCCATGGGGTCGCACCGCGGGACGTGCCAAGGGGACGCGCTACGGAACGCGCCAATGGATGTGCCACGGGATGTGCAAGGGGACGCGCCACGCGACGTGCCAGGGGGACTCGCCAAGGGACGCCCCACGGAACGTGCCAAGGAACGTGCCAAATTGCAATGCTGAATGTATCGATCTTGATGTACCGTGCCGAAGTCTGTGCTGGGCTTTGCCGTGCTGAACTGCGATGTGCCATGCCGCGATTGTGCTCTACAGCGTTGTGGATCGAGTCCTCCTTTGCGTCCGAGTCCTGACCGAACTGATCTCGATCTTAAGCTCGAGCTGCCTGAACACATAGTAGCTGCCCCAGAGCTAATTGACAGGGGGACATGCCAGGAGGACACGCCGCGGAACGTCCCAAGGGACGCGCCAGGCGACGTGCCAGGGGACGTGCCATGGGGACGTGCCAAGGGCACGCGCTACGGGACATGCTGGGGACAAGCGTTTCGCTCGAGACATCCTGTCACATGCTAGACATCCGCCTGAGCGACCTGGACACGTGAAAACAAGCGTTTCGCTCAACACACCCTCAACACATTTTCATGGTAGACGGCCGCCTGGGCGAACTGGACACGTGAAAACAAGTGGTTCGCTCGAGACATCCTCAACACATCTTCACGTGAGACGTCCGCCTGGGTGACCTGGGCACGTGAAAACAAGTGTTTCGCTCGAGACGTTTTCAACACCTCCTAATTCTAGACATCCGCCTGGGCGACCTGTACACGTGAAAACAAACGTCTCGCTCGAGACATCCTCAACACATCTTCATGTTAGGCATCCGCCTGGGCGACCTGGACACGTGAAAACAAGCGTATCTCTCGAGACATTCTCAACACATCCTCATGCTAGGCATCCGCCTGGGCAACCTGGACACGTGCAAACAAGCATCTCGATCGAGCCTTCCTCAACACATCCTCATGCTAGACATCCGCCTGGGCGACGAGGACGCGTGAAACCGAGCGTCTCGCTCGAGACATCCTGAACAAATCCTGGCGCTAGACCTCTGCCTGGGCAACCTGGAAGCGTGAAACCAAGCGTCTCGCTCGAGACATCCTCAAGACCTGGGCACGTGAAAACAAGCATGTCACTTGAGAGATCCTCCGAATTCTGGTCCCCAGGAGAGGACAATATATAAGACAAAACAAGCGTTTCGCTCGAGACATCCTCAACACATTCTGAAACACAAGCGTTTCGTTCGAGACATCCTCAAAAATAACTTCGCCGGCCCTACGCGAGCCCGTTATTTATTGCAAAAGAATTTCGCCGGCCCTGCAGCCATCAGAACCGCGGGTAACCACACTAAAAGAAAATCCTGGGCCCGAGCCCTCTCCGAGAAAAACAGCACTTCGCTCTGGACATCTCAAAGTCTACTTCGACAGCCCTCTTCGACCTCGTTATTTATCACGACATAATTTCGCCAGCCCTCTTCATGCCGATTTCGAAAACGAATCAACCTTATTAAAAGAGAACCCTGGGCCGACGCCCTTTCGGGTTAAAAAAAACTCGACCCACGAACACGGAAAGGAATACAGAAATGCAAGACATGGCAACGTTTCAAAGACACCTGATTGGGCGACGGGCACATGCAAGAATGAGTGTATCGATCTTGATGTACCGTGCCGAGGGCTGTGCTGTGCTGCGCCGTGCTGAACTGCGATGTGCCATGCCGCGATTGTGCTCTGCAGCGTTGTGGATCGAGTCCTCCTTTGCGTCCGAGTCCTGACCGAACTGATCTCGATCTTAAGCTCGAGCTGCCTGAGCACATAGCAGCTGCCCCAGAGTTAATTGACATGGGAACATGCCGCCAGGAGGAAGCGCCGCGGAACGTCCCAAGGGACGCGCCAGGCGACGTCCCAGGGAACGTGCCATGGGAACGCACTGCCGGACGTGCCAAGGGGACGCGCAACGGAACGTGCCAATGGACGTGCCACGGAACGCACTCCCAGGGCCACGATCCCTCGTAAATTATGCTGCGTCCGCGCTCCCAGGGCCACGATCCCTCGTAAATTACATTGGGGTCGCGCTCCCAGGGCCCCGACCCCTTGTAAATTACGCTGCGTCCGCGCTCCCAGGGCCACGATCCTTTGTAAATCACGCTGCGCCCGAGCCCCCAGGGCCCCGATCCCTCATATTCTAAGCTGCGCCCGCGCTCCAAGGGCTACGATCCCTCGTAAATTACATTGCGTCCGAGCTCCCAAGGCCCCGACCCCTCGTAAATTATGCTGCGCCCGCGCTCCGAGGGCCACGATCCCTCGCAAATTACGCGTGGTCCGAGCTCCGTGGGCTACGACCCCTCGTAAAGTACGCCGCGTCCGCGCTCCCAGGGCCTCGATGGGCATGCTGGGGCACCCAGGCCCTTCAAGTTTGCCAAACAAGTGTTTCGCTCGAGACATTCTCGATGTTTGGCGCGGGGGGCGCACCATCCTCGAGCGGGCACGCAAAAACTCAACAGTTGCATGCTAAATCCTTGAAACAAGGAACGAAGTAGTCGAGACATCCTCGAAATTCCTGCGCGCGGGACGCGGCACGCGCGAGACATCCTCGGAATTCCTGCGCGCGGGACGCTTTTTCGCGTCGCGGTCGGGGCTCCAGACCTTTTTTGTTTCTGGGATTCTGCTAAAAGTGCCCCGCACTTTCTTTCTTAGAAAGAAACGGAGGCCCGCGGACCCCGTTATTTATAGAGGATCCTAGCTAGGGGGTTCACTTTCCGCGAGCGGGCACGCACGAAACGTATTTGTTCACGCCGAGTTGGACTTTACATCGTTTTTTTATTGAAAATAATTCAGCCAGCCCCCTTCAAGTCAAAACGGGGGGTTAACCTACTAAAAGAAAACCCTGGGGCCACGCCCTTTCCGGGAACACGAGAACCCTGGGCCCACGCCCTTTCCGGGAATTGAAAGAGCTTCACGGAGTGAGCGCGGGTCGTTTTCAAAACGTGGCTCTCGCCTTCGCGCCGTGCACACTCGTCTTAAACATTTGCAAGAGCTTTACGGGTTGAGAGCGGTTCGTTTTCAAAGTATGGCTCTCGCCCCAGCGCCGCGCACATTCCATTCTGAAGATGGCAATAAGTTCACGGATTCCCATGGACATCGTACCCCAAATTGTGTTTTGGAAGGATTCGGGATTCTGAGGGTCAACAGTTGCGTTGATTCGCGGTGTTGCAGTCCCAAGAACAGCATTACGGCACGATTCTGGATCGTCAAGATGCAAGAGTCAGGTTGATCCGTGGCGTTGGAATCAAGGGAATAATGTTATGGCATGTTTCAGAGTCGTCAAACGGTTGTCTTCCAACCGGGCAGTTCCTTTAGTGGAAGAAAACGTTGTAGGGGCCTGTGAAATAAAAAGGGGGGTTGGAGGGAGGGGTTGATTCCAAACCTGGTCATCCTCCCCCTTCTCCTCCTCCTCCCCCATCCCCATCCTCCTCCTCCTCCTCCTCCTCCTCCTCCTCCTCATCCACGTCCCTCTCCTCATCCTGTTCATCCAGTTCCTCCTATTCATGCTCTTGCCCCTGCTCGTGTGCATCCTCCTGCTCCTCCTCACCATCCTCCTCGTCCTCATCCTCTTCCTCTTTCTACTTGTCCTCCTCCTCCTCCTCCTCCTCCTCCTCTTTTTTTTCCTCCTCCTCCTCGTCCTCCTCCCCCTCATCCTCCTCCTCGTCCTCTTCCAGTTCTTCCTCCTCCTCATCCTCCTACACGTCCCTGTCCGCATCCTGCTCAACCTCCCCAATCCTCCTCCTCATTCCTCCTCCTCCTCCTCCTTTTCCTCCCGTTCCTCCTGGCTATCCGTGGGTCTTTGCATGCCCTGCCCATCAGTGCTTCCAGGCGCGGCCTACCCCAAGGGCGGGAACTCTGCCCACAGGGCCGCCTGCTGCTTGGAGGTCTGACACGCAGCGCACTCCGAGAGGAAGTTTTCGTTCCTGCGGGCGCGGGGGGGGGGGGGGCGGGGGGAGAGGCAGGAGGAGGAGGAAGAAGAAAAGGAGGAGTCTTTTGCCTGAATATTCATAATCCCTGCAACATGTTCAGATAATATATCATGGTCAGTGGGCTCCGCAGATAGCATGGAGAAGAAAGGATAGTGCCGTCAAGCACACAGTAAAGTAACACTGAAGGGAGGAGGCCGGCCCGCTGGTCGACGCACGCGCGCGCGCCGCAGGCTCGCTCCTCTCCCGTTTCCCTAGAGCCAAAGTAGTGTAGCTGCGGGAACAGAAATAGTCGGCCTGTACAGAGGCAGACAGCACGCGCAAGAAGAGAGAGCAGGTAGGGCTAAATATTGGTGGTGCGGAAGGGGTGCATTGACTCCCCCCGCGGCGGGGTCCGTAGAGCCGCCCCGACCCCCAACCCACCTGGCCCGTACGCATGCACAGCCACCGGAGCGAACCCCAAAAGCATTTTACCGCTCAACGGTGGTTGCCAGGGGGCGGAAGGCCGAAGAAACACGACGTTCCCCGCCTGGGCCACAGTGCCCGCGCACACCTGGTGCACCCGCTCCACGAAGCAGTGCGGACCAGCATCGACTTTGTCGCGCTGCATCACCTTCTCCGGCGGCCTCTCCATTCACGAGAGTCGTCCCAGGGATCGCTGTTGCTCCAGCACCACTGGTTCTGATTCCTGGAGGAGCTGTCCTCCCTTCTGCTCGAGCTCCAGCCACTTGGCTCACTCTTGCCCTGGCCCTTCTCCGGCGGTCTCGCCTTCGGCGTAGGCGGCGGTGGAGGCTCTGGCAAGGTACTTGGCATTCCAGGGTCTCACTGGACCTTGTCGTTGCAATCGTCAAGACTACACCATTGCCACGTTTTACTGTGGCCAGTAACTCGCTGATGCCCGGATAGATGCACCGAGCATCATTGAATTTATCCGATCTCGTTCTTGTCTTCGTAGTCGACGGTCGCGTCGTAGACGCCGCCCATGGCCGGCCCGGGGCCGCCGCCGTCGCTCGCGCGGCCGCCAGCCGGCTCAACGGCCAGTCTTTCAGGAATGGGCTCATCAGTCCTGGATTCGCCCGCCCACGACTGGATTCTGTCATAATCGACCCAGCCAGCACTGGTGCCTGACGCGGCTGGGCTGGCAGACACAGGTGCATAGAGGGCGGCCCGATAAGACAACCTTCCATACTGGTACCTCGGTCGCGATGCTGGGCGAAAGCATTGCTGAGTTCGCTGTCCCGGGGCGGCGGTGCCGCTCGGGGCATTGCCATCGACAACTGGGGTTGCAGCATCTGCTGGCGACTCGGCTGGGAATGTCTCGGTTGGAGAGTTGGCTGAGCCACTCTCCTCATTTTTCTTCTTAGCACAACTGGTGATCCCAATTGAATTATCAATATTGAAGACCCCGCAACGGCCACTGGCAAGACAAATCTTGACACTAAATTGAGACTCGGTAGACGTGTGCATGTTCGAAAACCATAGCCTTTTGGATACCTGGGCAATTTCGTCGCGCGGTCTCCGATACTTCATTGCCTAATCCGTTACTCCCATGATGAAGTGAATCAAATGTCTCGATTGCAGATCGGATCCAACAATCCAAAGCGCAAACATCTTGAATGATTTGAATGAGTTCCTGGAAACGCGTCATTGATCCCCGCGGACATGCACAGGAATATGACTTCGCGCGCAGCTAAGAACATCCGCCCCCATCTTCCATGGGTAGGGATTCGATCAAGCGGTTGGTCCCGCATTCTATCCACAAGCTAGGATAATCCCGGCGGTGCTTCATGAATGCTATATTTGTCCAACGGGCTCGTATTTGGAACAGTCGATAAAGTATTCAAGAACAAATGGCGTTGCAACTTGGATAACTTCTGGCCTCTCGCATGTTTCATTGTTGTACTTTTCCCGGAAAGGGCGTAGGCCCAGGGTTCTCTTTTAGTATGTAAACATGTCCCCGGTGCCCAACTTGAAGGAGGCCGGCGGATTCTTTCCCTGATAAATATCGAGGTCGAAGGAGGCCGGCGGATTAAACTTTGAGGATGTCTCAGGCGCAACGCTTGTTTTTGAAATCCCGATCGATAAATCACAGGGCGCGGGACACCTCAGCACGACCACACCCCCAGCATGACCACGCCCCAGCACGACCACGCCCAGCACGACCACGCCCCAGCACGACCACACCCCAGCACGACCACACCCCAGCACGACCACACCCCAGCACGACCACACCCCAGCACGACCACACCCCAGCACCAGCACGACCACACCCCAGCACGACCCGATCGATAAATCACAGGGTGCGGACCACCCCAGCACGACCACACCCCAGCACGACCCCACCCCAGCACGACCCCACCCCAGCACGACCACGCCCCAGCACGACCACACCCCAGCACGACCACACCCCAGCACGACCACACCCCAGCACGACCCCACCCCAGCACGACCCCACCCCAGCACGACCCCACCCAAGCACGACCACACCCCAGCACGACCACACCCCAGACCCCACCCCAGCACGACCCCACCCCAGCACGACCACCCCAGCACGACCACACCCCAGCACGACCCGACCCCAGCACGACCCACCCCAGCAAGACCACACCCCAGCACGACCACACCCCAGCACGACCTCACCACAGCACGACCACACCCCAGCACGACCACGCCCCAGCACGACCACGCCCCAGCACGACCACGCCCCAGCACGACCACCCCCAGCACGACCACCCCCCAGCACGACCACCCCCCAGCACGACCACACCCCAGCACGACCACTCCCCAGCACGACCACACCGCCTTGGTTGAGTGGTTGCCTGTCGTCGTGGAATGTTTCGTGGGGTGTCTCGTGGAATGTTTCGCGGGGTGTCTCGTGGAATGTTGCGTGAGGTGTCTCGTGGAATGTTTCGTGAGGTGTCTCGTGGGATGTTTCGTGAAGTGTCTCGTGGGATGTTTCGTGAGGTGTTGCCCAGTTGGGTATCGTGAAAACGTGTCCATGCTCAACATGTCTATATCCCTTTCCGGGTTCGTGGGTCCATCATGTTTAGCCAGAAATAGAAATAGAAATCAAATCGAGCCACAAAGGCAGCGTTCTATTCTGAACAATCAGCGGATATCGCTGGGCGATATGTTTATTGCATACGCCGCCCGACGTCGCAGCATTCTCCTCGCGTTCCGAGATGGCTTCATCAATGCGGCTTGGCCGATGATAAAGTTTTGCAACGAGTCGGAAAAATCTCTCCTACTTGGTTCGATGCAGACGCTCGGCCGGCTGCATTCAAGTCCTTCGTCAACACTCGATCTGATGGAATGACATCCTCGTTCTTCCATTTCTCGTTCCCACTGGTCCCAGCCCGTCTCCGGTCAAATTTGTTCCGCACTAACATGTTCACAACCGAACACTGCAAGTGCAGAGCATCTCATAGGACGGGCATATTGGTCCAGATCTGGTGTCCAAATCAATGGCCACCACTGGGCAGCTGCGGGGTGCGCGCCCCCATGCTTGTGCTCTAGCCAGTCAATGAATCTGAGCTTGACGGGTTCCAGACACTGAAGGTATGGCTCGTGACACGCCAGCGGCTGTGCCGAGATACTGTCAGGACGCCATGAAGGAACGGCCCCTGGCTGCGAATTCATGAACGCACCACCAGCCAAAGCCGTCGTGGAACGTATGTGTTCCTGATTAACCCATTTGCGCTGACGTTGCTCGGCCTGGCTTAAGTTGTCCAATGCATCAGCAGAGCTCCTGCTCATTGCTCTTAGCCTGTTAGAAATCATCTCAGATCGGTTCTCCCCTCTCGGGGGGGCATCAAAACGTGGAGCCAGTCCTAGTCTCGTCCTTGCAGCAACCATTCCGGTTTCTCCTGGCGGTTGCAAGTAATTCGCTATGACGTTAGTTCTGTACCTGACAAGAGTGGGGCATTGCAAACAGCATCCGAAACCAGCCCTCACGGCACGGTATTGAGCGCCAATGTGCATCCCATCGTCTGTCCACATTCTCCGCGTGATGAAGGCCTTTTCTTCATCGGACAGCGCACTCGGCCCTACATCGGCCACTTACTTGTTCATCGGAGAATATCCACGTTCTGATTGTATCAGACGAGAAAGCAACCTTCCACGCAGACCACTCTTGCTGAAGTATCAAGTTCCATATCATATGCCGCAAGTTGCCCCTACCAACTTGCTCAACCACTTGCAGTTGCACAATGCGAGAAATATCACTGAAACGCGCCTGTCCTGTCGTTACAAGAGTTCCATCGCAACAGATGCGATACCTAAGGCGAGTCACTACCCGTCCATTGAAGACAACAACATATGCCTAGTTCTCATTATGCGTCGCATCAGTATCCCAGAAAGACGGGGTGATTGCACGAAGCCAAGTTTCATGAGTGGGGGGTGCACCGCCGGCTGGGGCAGTGCCCTCAGCCTGATATACCTTGGCGGGGGGCATCGCCGTCCTTCCGCTGGCAAAGCCAGCGAGGGGCGTGTTCAGCATATTCCACGGGGAATTTTCGCCTCATCGGTATCAATCTGAGAAGTCCGTAGTCAGGTGCTTTGCACAATCCACTAAACTTGTTCGGGTACTTTAATAATCCCTGCTCCCAACGTTAACTCTCTTATGGTTTCTAAGGATGCAACGTGCAGCAGATGCCCGCGGCACAGCGCCATCCCAAACTCTCGAGGAGCACACATGCGCTCTATGCTGCGAGCAAAACAAGAGCGTCCCTGACACGCACGAAAGAACATTGGCATGGGCTAGGCAGCCCGTTCAGCTCTATCAATGGTGATGACTAAGTCTCCGTGTTCCACATTAACGACTGTGTCGCGTGAGGCGCCTGGGTGCAGAAAAGACAGCAATTGTTCAAGTATCTGTCTCTTCAGAATCGTAATGTCGTCTGCTCTAATGCCTAGAGCAACAATACCTCCCGATGGCAGCATTGTCAGGCCGTGCAATGCATGAGCAGTAGCGGCGTGTGTGCCACCATCATTCGTCA